TTTTTCCAAGACAAGGTTTCTCTGTGTAACAGCCCTGGCTGTCCTAGAACTTGCTTTGTAGACCAGGGTGGCCTCGAACTCACAGAGATCCGACTGCCTCTGGCTCAGCCTGCTTTTTTATAGAACATAGGGCCACCAGCCTAGGATAGCACCACATACAGTGGGCTGGGCCCTCCTCCATCAATCACTAATTAAAGTGTCCTCCAGGCTTGCCCAAACCCAAATCTTACAGTATGGAGGCATTCTCTCAGGTGAGGCTTCCTCCTATCTGATGACTCTTGCTCATGTCAAGTTAACAAAAAACCAGCCAGTACAACTATTAACAAAAACACAGAAATACATGTGAATGGTAAACATCAAATTCAGAATAGTAAACCCTTAAGGAAAGATAAACTCAAAAATTCAAGAAGCTACACATAAGAAACTCAACTATATGATGGACTTACATTTTTTTGTTTTTAAATTCATTTGTTGTGTGTGTGTGTGTGTGTGTGTGTGTGTGTAAGTCAAAAGACAACCCACAGGAGTTGGATCTTTTACCACGTGTGCTCCAGGCATCGAACACTGGTCATCAAGCTTGGAGGCAGAGTGCTCTTACTTGCTGAGCCGTCTTGCCAGTCCAGAGTATTTCATTTTGTATGTTTATATGGATATTTATTATTACATTGTTGACCTAAATATATTTTCTTCTAAAAGCTTCAGGCTTTTTCATCCTGCAGTGACATATCGGCCTATATTTTGTTTACTTAATATTTATCAAATATCTGTTATTAAATGTAGCTCCTGCCAAGCGTGGTGGCTCAGACCTATAATTCCAGCAACTGTGAGGCAGAGGCAAGAGAACTGTATACCCTTCCCACTGAAAAATGGCTTCTACTGTCAAGATACTCGATTTCAACACCAACTATTATTAATCTTGTCTCCTTCTTGTGTAGTTGTGGGGTGGGATTGCTGAGCTCTGCCACGAGAGCAAGAAAAACAGTCACTGACCAGAGGTAATCCTGTGTTCCAACACGTTAACACCGAGTCTGTTCCATCCCCTCTGCTGTGACAGACTGACGACTGAAAACGAGTTTATTTTCTTGTTTTTATGTCTGCGTATTCGTGCATAGTTATGTAGATGCCAGAGGCTGACGTCTGGGGCCTTCGATTGCTCTACTTGTTTTCTTTTACAGGGTATAATTTTAAGATACTTATTTAGGCAGGGCGGTGGTGGTGCAAGCCTTTAATCCCAGCACTTGGGAGGCAGAGGCAGAGGCAGGCAGATCTCCGGAGTTTGAGGCCAGCCTGGTCTACAGAGCAAGTTCCAGGACAGGCTACACAGAAAAACCCTGTCTCGAAAAAGCCAAAAAAAAAAAAAAAAAAAAAAAAAAGAAGATACTTATTTAGTGCATGCATACATGTGTATGAGTATGGGTAACTTTGGGGAGTTGGTTCTTGCCTTCCACCTTTTTGAGGCACAGGCACTTTGTTTATTATACTGCATATTTCAGGCAAGCTGGTCTGAGGGCGTCTGGATGATTCTCTTGTTGTATCTGTCCTTAGGAGTGCTGGGATTACAGATGTGCACATCTGGCGTTTTATGTGTCATGGAGAGCAGACTAGGATTGTTACATTTGTACGGCTGGCACTTCCCCCTGCTGAGCCACCTTTTTTTTGAGGCAGGATCTCTCACCAGCTGGCTAGACTAGCTGGCAGAGCTCCAGGGATCCTGTCTCTGTCCTACCAGGAGCATGTCACCATAATGGAGATCTGAACTCAGGCCTCACACCTCCTTGGCACACTTGACCAATTAAGCCATCTCTCCAGCCCTTCTATGAGTTATTATAACAACCACACTTGCAGTCTCCATTTGCAATAGCAGGTGCAGCTGTATTTACAGCTTCCAAACGGACTCACAATCCAGTTAAAGGCCAATTCTAGTCAAGACAGGTAATAGGACAATGGGAAAACAGATGGGCATTTTGACTAGGAATCTAATTCCACTACTCCAGCAAAGATCTAGAGAGACTCCCTGATCATGTGTTTATTTCTTGGATTTATTAAAATGATTTTATGTCTTAGCTTTTATCTTGGGCTCTACCAACTTTAGCTTTAGAATAGCTACCAAAAGTGTCATAGCAGTATTTTGTTTTTGAAAAAGGGCCTCATGTGTTCTAGGCTGGACTTGAACTCACTATGTAGCAAAGACCCTGAACTCCTGATCCTCCTGCTTCTTACAGATGCAGGCATCTGCGGTTGGGACTGCAGGCATATGGCCCCACGCCTAGCTTTATGCAGTGCTCAGAAGGAATCTTGAACGCAGTATGCTGGCAAGTATGCTGCCAGTCTTTATAAAGGTTGGTGGGAAATCTAAGTTACCTGTTCCCCTGTCCATGGGGCACTGGGATGGAAAGCCTCTGTTGATTACAGGATGGAAGAAAAAGGAGGCCATTTTCCAAGCAGAGACAGGAAGCCTTGGAAACACCACTGGTTTCACCCAGTTTCCCATCTCATGCTGGTAGAAGGAAATATAATTTCAAAGAAACCAAAACAAACCGGTTATCTTTCTTTTACCTCTCAACTACCCATATTATTTCCAGAAAATTTATTGTAGTCAAGAACCGTCTCAGGGGCTAGGGATGGCTCAGTGATAGAGTGCTGCTCAGGAGGAGCAAGGCCCTAGCTAGGCTGCCTCTCCAGAACCACAAAGAAAAGAAAAACAAAGCTTAGTGGGCTAGGCCTCCAATCTCAGGACTCAGGAAGCTGAGGCAGAAGGCTCCCAAGTTAGAGGACAGCCCAGATTACATAGCCAAACTATTTCAAAACACACACACACACAAAATCAAGTATGCTAGACTGAAGACCCCAGAGTTACCCGATAAAGTGGCAAAAATGTCATCATTACATGTGAATCAACATCAAAGAGCTAGAATTCACACGAAAGGAACTTACTGACATGCCATTTAAAGATGTGCTACCTGAATGCTCTAATACACATTTCCTCATTTTAAGATGAAAAGCTTGAAGGCTGTACATCTAATAGATTATGCCCCAAATTCATTTCATTACATTTTTAGGGAAATGCAAATCAAAGCCAGTGAACTAGACTCTCAAAAAAATCAAACCACTCTGTGAGTTCGAGGCCAGCCTGGTCTCCAAAGTGAATTCCAGGAAAGGCGCAAAGCTACACAGAGAAACCCTGTCTCGAAAAAACCAAAAAAAAAAAAAAAAAAAAAAAAAAAAAAAAAAAAAATCAAACCAAATCAAACCTAACTTCAAATACATATTACTTCAAATACATATTACTTCACACGTGGGGGGGGGGGGGGCTAGAAAGTCCCTTTAAAGGGAGAGGGGCAAGGGTATGGCTCAGTGGTTGTATACATGCTTGGCAGCCAAGAGGGCCTGGGTTTAATCCTAGCATGGAGTGGGGAGGGTAACAGCTCTGTTTGGCAAGGAAGCGGAGACAGAGAATCCTCTTGCATTGCTCCTGGGAATAGTAAAATGGTGCAGTCCTGTGGAAAACTGTTTGGCAGCTCCTCAGAGTTAAAGATAGAACGATCACATGACCAGCAATCTTAGGTAAATAGCCAAGAGAACTTAAAGTAGGGACTCAAATAGATACTTGCACTCCAGGGTGTAATTCACCATAGCTGGGGTTGGAAACAGCTTGTTACCATCAAGAGCTGAATAAGTAAAATCAGTTGGTATATGTACACAAGGAAATATTCAGACACAAAATTAAAGAATTAGAATTCCCAGGATGAATGGACCTGCAAACATTATGCTAAGTGAATTAAGACAGGTGCAAAATGAGTCTGTATGATTCCATGCATATGAGGTACCTCAGATAGGCAAATTCAGACAGTGGATTATTACCAGGGGTTAGGGATAGGGGTGAAGGGAAGGAGTTACTGTTTAACAGTACAGAGTTTCTATCAGGGAGGCTAGCTTTCACTGTTTTGAGACAGGCTGGCATTGCACTCACCATCCTCCTGCCTCTGCCTTCCAAGTGCTGAGATTACAACCACCAGGCCGGTAACACTCTGAGCACAAAGAACGCTAGTGGTTAAACATTGTGCTTGTGTTCCCAAGCCACTGAAACACACGTACAAATGTCTAAAATGATAAATACTATTTTATATATTGTCACACACACAAACCAAAAGAAAAGACCCCCCCCAACCCAAAACAACCCACAAATAATCAAAGTACAAGGAGTAGTTAAGCACTTACTATGTGTATACCCTTGAGCTGCAAGGCAGATGTGTTGGTTCACAACATGCCTTCTAAAGGCCACAGCACCCCTAACGCAAGCAGGAAACTGCCCTGCTTTGTAAGGTTGAGTGAGTTCTAGCCCTACCAGACCCCACAGCACAGCTTGAAAATCAGCTGCAGGGGACTTGAAACAATCCAAGCAAGCATTTTCTTCTTTCTCTTTGATTTTTTGAGACTGGTGTCAAGTTTGGCCTTAAATTTGGATCCTCCTGCCTCAGTCTCAGTCTCTCAAGTGATGGGTTTATAGGTGTGAGCCATCAATCTATCCTCTTTATTTTCAAGCACACACTATACCCTAACCCGCCCTTCTAAGAGTCATTCTCATACAGAGTTGGGTATATTGGAAGCAAGTTGTTCTGATGACTAGGAACCCAGAGATGGCAGTCCTAAAAGAGTTTTATATCTAGTATCTTCTTTTTTTGAGACAGGGTCTCTCCATTTAGCCCAGGGTGGCCTGGAACTCACAGAGATCCACTTGCCTCTGCCTCTGGGATTAAAGGTGTGCAACTACGCCCAGCTACCCAGCATCTGCTAAACCAAGACATCATTTTGTTTTCAAAGCAAAGGATGAACACGTAGGCATATCTTTCAATTCTTTCCCTGTGAAATGATTCATGCTGATTACATAATCCTTCTCATATACAATTCATTTCAAGTAAGATGAGGAGTTGGCATAAACATGCATTATCTGAAGTATGCTCAGCATGAAAGGCAGAACTCTATAACTTTAAAAGGAAATGTTAAGTCTCAGGAACCTTTTATTGTCTGAATAACTGTACACAAAACACCAGGCAGAGAAGTCCTGAAGGAAATGATGGTCGAGTTTCACTGTTATTTGCCCTTTGGTCCTTCATCTTCTAAGCATATATATGCTCTTTAAATGGTATTAGACATTTATTTTGATCACAAATGCAATCCGAGTGTGAATAAATAAACTCAGTATCTCTCTCCCCTCTGAGTCTCTTTTAAATAGAAAAATGTGCTAAATGTCTCTTCATGGCCCGCTGGGCCACGGCTGCCCCACCTACGGCTTTAAAGACTGTAACTTCATCTTCTGAAGCCCTACTGAACTACAGTCCACCCAGTTACAGGATCCTGGGAAAGATGTCCTACTGATACTGTCGGTAGTCTCCGAAGGGTGAGGGTGGTAACTGGCTTGAAGGCAGCTGTGAGTGGTCTTCAGCAAACTGAGGGCCTGCAATGGAGACAGAAAAGGAGTTTAAAAGAACGGCATCCGATTAAAAAGCATGCCTCTGTAGAATAGAAATGAATCAGCTTCAAAGTTACTGCTATACTGCAACTGTAGTTGGAATTTCTTTATAAGGATCTTGTGATTTCCCACCAGAGGTCTGGAGACCCTTCAGATTTATCACAGGACAGACTGGCTTCCCAGGTGTTCCAGAATGGATAGCCAGGAAATTCAGATGGATTCATAACAGAAAAATTAGTGTTTTGTTTTGTTTGAGACGTGGTCTCCCTCAGATTAGGCTGGCCATGAACTTGCTATATAGAGATGAGCTGGATCTCCTGATCCTCCTGCCTCCACTCCCAAGTGCTAGGATTACAGGTGTGCCTATCACCCTAGTTTATGTGTTGCTGAGGAGTGAGCCCAGGGCTTTGTCTATGCTACTCAAACACTCTACCAACTGAGTTATGTTCTCAGTCCCAGAGGCAGCAGTGTTTAAAGCAACTGCTATAGTAAGTTTCCCTGGATCAAGACAGGCAGAAAATGACAACAAAACAAAACCTGCTGTTTCTTAGTACAGTTAGAAAAATTTACGAGTATGTGTGCACATGTATGTGTGTGCACCAGTGTGCAGAAGCCTACGGAAGTCAGAAAGACTGGAGTTCCAGACAGTTGTGAGCTGCCATGTGCGTACTGAGAACTGAACCTTGGTCTTCTGCAAAAGCAGTAAAGGGCTCTTAATAACTGAGCCAACTCTTCAGCTCCTCTGGATACATTTCTAAAAAAGCTTAAAAAATTTAAATGTATCTGCATGTGTGTCAATGTACGTGCATGCGAGTACCATGGAGGCCAGAAGAGGGTGCTGGATCCCCCGGAGCTGGAATTAGAGAAAGTTGTGAGCTCCCCAATGTGAAGGCTAGAACCTGAACTTGGGTCCTCTGAAAGAGCAGCAAGTACTCTTAACCACTGAGCCGTCTCTCCAGCCCCTCTTGACACATATTTTAGTATCCATTTAAAATTATATTGACAAAACTTAAATGACCTTAGGTATGTTTTTGTTCTTTGGCAGTAATGGGATAAATCCAGGGCTCCTGCGAAGCTATGAAAGCCCTAAGTTTACCACTAAATTACAACCCCTTAGTTATGTTTAAAAGAACTCACTAATCCAACTTAAATAACAACTCTGTGAGGACCATCCTGAAAACCAAATAAAGAAGTTTAAAAAAAGACAAAGAACAAAACCAATAAAACAAGATCTGAAATGGGAAGCTGCCCCATAGCTTGTTATACAATAAAATTTACAGTTTTATTTCCAAAAGAGAGCCCAGGAACAACAATAACAACAACAAAAAAATTTTTGAGACTCTCACATAGCCCCGGCTAGCCTCAAAATTTGCTATGTAGCTGTTTTGGCTGGTTTTATGTCCACTTGACACAAGCTAGAGTCATCTGAAAGGAATGTTCTGGTTGGGGGTTCTATTGTTATGAAACATCATGACCAAAAGACACTTGTGGGAGGCAAGGGTTTATGGGGCTTACACTTCCACATTACTGTCATCATCTAAAGATCATCTTCTCAACAGGTCCCTCCACTTTGCTTATGGTGTTCCATCACAGCAATACAACTGTAGCTAGAGTTTTCCTGCCTGGCCCACAGTCAGGACAAATCTCTGTCACCCGCCAGTCCCACAGCCGCTCAGATCCAACCAAGTAAACACAGACACTTATACTGGTTACAAACTGTATGGCCATGGCAGGCTTCTTGCTAACTGTTCTTATAGCTTAAATTAATCCATTTCTATTAATCTATACCTTGCCACATGGCTCGTGGCTTACCGGCATCGTCACATGCTGTTTCTCATCGTGGTGGCTGGCAGTGTCTCTCTGACTCAGCCTTCCACTTCCCAGCTTTATTCTCCTCCTTGTCCCGCCTATACTTCCTGCCTGGCCACTAGCCAATCAGTGATTTATTTATTGACCAATCAGCAACACACTTGACATACAGAACATCCCACAGCATATAACCTTAACTAAGACAGTAGCCAAAGAAAGATGACCTTGAACTTTAAATTATTTACTTATTTATTATTATGAGTGTTTTGCCTGTATGTATGTCTGTGTATTATATGTATGCCTCACACCCTCCAAGGCTAGAAGAGGGCACTGAATCCCCTGGAACAGGAGTTACAGATAGTTGTGCACTGCCATGTGGTGCTGGGAATCAAACTCCGATCCTCTGGAAGAGCAGCCAATGCTCTTAAGAGCTAAACCATGTCTCCAATGCCCTTTGTTCAATTCTTAAAAGCACACCCACCCACCCCACATCTCTCTTAAAGTCTCACGTAGCCCTAGTTGGTTTTGAATTTGTTACGTAGCAGAGGCTAGCCTTGAGTCTTTATCCCTCTACCTCTACCTCCTAAGTGTGAGATTACTGGCTTGTGTCATTCCTGGCCAAAAGTACGTCTCAGCTAAAAATAACATGCACTGCGTTTAGGGGACATCGATATAAATGGTGAGATTTGATTATTAGAAAGGCGACTCTCAGTGGAATAAAACTAAGTTTTGGTTACATATAGTTCTGAATGTCTAAAAATATGAAACTGTTTTATACTAAAACGACCAAAAACTGAACAGCAAAATTAGAACGTGGCCACCGTAAGAGTGCAAACTCAGAACAAAGTACTATAAAACAGGAAGTAAAACGAGTAGGGCATCTAGATCAACCACTAACATCTACTGAGTCGTGTGCTCAGAAATCGTGCCAAGATCACAGCTCTCCCTTGGTGCCTCAGGGAAATCAAATCAAGAACGGTCTGTTTCGAACTCTATGCTGAGTCTTATCCAAGCTCCAAATAATTTTCAACATGTCTTATTATTCCTCCTATTCTCTTCCTCAAATGCCAGGTCAAGTTTGTGTGTGTGTGTGTGTGTGTGTGTGTGTGTGTGTATGCATGTGTGACATTGCATACATGTAGAAACTACAGGGAAACCTCACCTGTGGCTTCTCAGGAGGCCTCTACTTTGTTTTATTTTAAGACTTGTTTTATTTTTTTATTTTTTATTTTTGAGATGGGTTCTATTGTGTGGTCTTGTCTGTCCTGGAACTCACTAGATAGAATAGGCTGGCCTAGAACTCAAATTATCTGTCTACCTTCCAAGTGCTGATATTAAAGGCGTGTGCCATCATGCCCAGTTTTAAGATTTTTAAGTGTGTGTGTGTGTGTGTGTGTGTGTGTGTGTGTGTCTGCCTGTGAGTGTGGGTGCCCTCAGAGTCCAGAAGAGGCTGTTGGAGCCCCTGGAGCTGGAGTTAAAGGTAGTTGTGAGATGCCTGGTGTGAATGCCGGAAACTGAGTCAGGTCATCTATAAGAACAGGAGGAACTCCTAACAACTGAGTTGATCTCTTCAGCCCCTAACTTGTTTTTTGAGACAGGGTCTCACAATGTCCTGGAACTTTTAACCTACCATGACATCCAGAGTGCTGGGATTATAAGCATGTGTTACCATGCCTGACTTTTTTTTTAAAACATGTATTATGGGGATTAAGCTCATGTGAAGGTGAGTTAATAGCTAATATCCAAGGGATATTTCCATTTATACACTGAACGCTTAGATAAGAAAGTCTGAAAGCTAATGAGCAGGTAGCCAGCCACACCCATCAAATGATTAGCGAGTCCACAAGTTAACTCTCACCTTTCCGGTAACTCCAATGTGACCCCCCACCCTAACTCCAGTCACACTCCAGTCTATTTTATACTCTTTTCTTTTACTTTGGCTTTTCAGGACAGGGCTTCTCTGTGTAGTCCTGGAACCTAAGACATCTGCCTGCTTCTGCTTCCTGAGTGCTGGGATTTAAGGCCTTCGCCACCATGCCCAGCCTATTTTATACTCTCGAAAGCAGTACTGTTTGGGTAGGATAATCTCATGACTCTGCTGTCGGTCTGAGCTCCCTAGAATGTAAGTCCCTGAGGTCAGGAACCGTCTTCCTCACCCCTCTATTGTCAGGAACTGTAACAGTCCTGCTACACACATACACAGCAAGAAGTGGTCAACTACCATCATTATTACATATCTGAGTATCTTTCAATGACCAGAAACTCCTCAAAGTAAGTAAATGAACACTGATAAATCTTGATGCCTACAAAGAAAGATGAACACCAAATTATGTCACCAAACAATCAAGTAGCCAAAACATTTTGTCACCTATTGACTATAAACATGATAATTACAAGCCTATTACTTTAAAATTTAGTTTTTGTTTATGTGCATTGTCTGTATGTATCCCACACACACGTGTAGTGCCTGTGGAGGCCAGAAGAGGTCATCAGATCTGCTTGGAACTAGAGAGGCATTACAGGTAGTTGTGAATGAAGGAGTGGGCATAGAGCACAGAACCTGGATCCTCTGCAAATGCAGCAGGAGCTGGTAACTGCTGAGCCAGCTCTCTAGCCACACCTATTATTTTTTAAACTAGCATTTTTTTTCTTAATGTCAGGAAACCATTCCCATGTGAATGAACTTAAAGCATTAAGGAGAGAAAGGACTTACCATTGGGAAACTGTGCAGAGGCAAACCTTGTCAACAAGATACCAGCTCCTTCAATCAAAGCTAGGAGAATGCCTCCCATCGCAGCTGACCCAACCATGGCTACCGGCCCATCTGAAGACATTAATAACAAAGATTACTTTAAAGGAAAGGGCTGTCCATATAAGTTTTATGTTTCTCTCATTCTCAAACTCTTCCACTGTCCAAGACCACAGTCAGCAAACAATGGCTGAGAGGTCAACTCCAGCCCACAGCCTGCTTTTTTAAACAAAGCTGTGGTGGTTTCAACACGATGGCCCCCTTAGGCTCATGTGTTTAAATACTCGGTTCCCAAGTAGTGGAACCCCTTGGAAAGGATTAGGTGGTGTGGTCTTGTTGGAGGTGTGTCACTGAGGGTGGGCTTGTCCCCAGGTAGTGGAACCCCTTGGAAAGGACTAGGTGGTATGGTCTTGTCAGAGGTGTCTTACTGAGGGTGAGCTTTGAGATTTCAGAAGACTTGTGCCATCTTCTGCCTCCTGCTTGTGGATGGATGCTGCTCCAGCCACCTGCCACCTGCTAGGCCTGCTCCACCATCAAGTATTCTAACCCTCTGAAACTGGGAACCCTAAATAAACTTTATTCTTTATATTGCCTTGGTTATGGTGTCTTATCACAGCAATAGAAAAGTAATCAATATAAAAGCTGTATTAGGCTGGGCGGTGGTGGTGCACGCCTTTCATCCCAGCACTCAGGAAGTAGAGCCAGGCGGATCTCTGTGAGTTTGAGGCCAGCCTGGTCTAACAGAGCGAGATCCAGGACAGGCACCAAAGCTACACAGAGAAACCCTGTGCACTGGTGGGGTGGTTCACACCTTTGATTCCATCCCTCAGAAGCAGAGGCAGGCTAGCCTACTAAGTTCCAGACAAGCCAAGGTTAAACAGTAAGACCCTGTCTCAAAACCAACAACAAACAAACAGAAACAAAACAAAACAAAAAGCCAACTGAAGAAACAACAACAAAAACCAAATCAAACAAAACAACAACAACAAAAAACAACCAACAAACCAGATCACATACTCCATAAGTATAAAATATTTATTTCTGGCACAGCCAAATGGCTCATTAGGTAAAGGTGCTTGCTGCCAAGCCTAATCCATCCACAAGCAGGAGGCAGAAGATGGCACAAGTCTTCTGAAATCTCAAAGCTCACCCTCAGTAAGACACCTCTGACAAGACCATACCACCTAGTCCTTTCCAAGGGGTTCCACTACCTGGGGACAAGCCCACCCTCAGTGACACACCTCCAACAGAAGAAGAACCAGTCCACAAGCTGTCCTCTGACTTCCACATGCAGCACACGTAAACACTCTCTCTCTCTCTCTCTCTCTCTTACACACACACACACACACACACACACACACACACACACGAAATTAAATTAATATAATAGAGGAAACTACTTTACTATTAATGCCTGACTTTTACAAGAAAAAGTTTAAAACTTCTAGCCTAAGCCCAAAGGAATTCTGGTTTGCGCTGTCCTGAAGGTCCAGAGGACGATCTCTATGCCATCCTAACAGCTGGATGTGGCAGTACTGTTAAGTCAAGAGATCTTGTGAAACTACAGCACAGAGACTTTGGCATTCTACCAGTCACACAAGCAAATGGCCCGTGTTCTTAACCACTGTAACACACCAAGGGTCACACACCTGTAATCCCCGAACTTGAGGAGCACGGGCAAAAAGAGAAGGTGTGCAAGGCCATTCTGAGCTGACTACATGAGACCCTGTCAGCAGACAAACAAGCAGTGGGCCGATGAGATGGAATCAGTAGGTAGAGGCACTGGATTCAGTTCCTGGAAGCCAAGTGGTAGGAGAAGCAGCTCCTGCCATTGTCCTTCGTCCTCACCTGGCACATGTGCCCACCCACCCACAAATAAATAATGTACTACTAATAAATTTTAACAACCCCATCCTTCACTGCTTTACCCTTACTTTCAGATCACCATAAATATTCATTCTGTACCACATCAGGCAAGTCTCAGTTTCATACATTACAGGTTTTAGTAATTTTGGTTTGGTTTTTTGAGACAGGTTTCTCTGTGTAGTCCTGGCCATCCTGGAACTCACTCTGTAGACCCCGCCTGCCTCTGCCTCCAGAGTGCTGGGATTAAAGACAGGTCTTACTGACTGACTGAAGGCAGACGAGGTGGCTCTAAACCCTGACTCCCAGTAGTACGCCAGTGATGGTTTACTTAGTGGCCTGAGGCTACAGGTCAGTGTAGGCCCGCCCACCATGTCCAATTCCAGTGTCGCCGAGACAAACAGCACAGCAGTGCTCACTCACTTCTCGCTGCCAGGATGGCTCCTGTCAAGGCACCGCTAGTGATGGAGTTCCAGGGATCTTCTTTGCCTCTTATCTGAACCATGCTGCAGTCGATCATGGAAAACAGCCCTCCCCAAACTGCAAAGCTACCTGTTTTATAAAACAAATCAAAACAAACAAAACAAAGCAACTCGCTTAAATTTCTCTTTTGTCTTACTTTTATATTATTATTAATATCATAGTCAAGTAAGTGTGCTTTGAAGCTGGCCCTGGTTATCCAATAAGCACATCTAGCAGAGAAAAGAGAAAGCATTTGCCTCTTAGAGCAGACACCCACGCTCAGTGTGCCTCTCTTTCTACTAACTTGTGCTTCCAGCTAATAGTAAAGAGTCTTGGGGCTGGAGACAGGACTGACTCAGTGGTGGACAGCGCGTGCCGCTCCTGCACAAGACTTGAGCTCAGGTCCCATCACCCATGTCAGATAGCTCACAATCACCGTAACCCCAGCTCCAGGGATCTGATACCCTCTTCTGGCCTCCATGGGACCTACATACATGTGGCAGACACACAGAACCGCACAAATACAACATGAACAAAAATAAATCTTAAGAAAAATTGTAATAAGATCTCCAACTCTTCTGAAAGGGGGTGGGGGCAAGGAGAGAAAAAACAAAATCCAGGGGCTGGATTAGGTCAGTGGTGGAGCTCTTGCCCAGCATGTACAGAGGCCTGGCTTCAATCCCCAGCACCATAAAACAAGCTAGAAGGAAGAGATAAGCCTAGCCTACATGAAGCTGCAAGTGTCTAAAAACTTGTAAATCACTCTTCTAAAATAGCACACCTGTGTTTACACAACAATACTCCAAACCAAAGGCTCCTGTTTCCTTCTGTTCATGATTTAGTTTTTCATCTTTCCTTTCTTCACCGAGTGTCACGGAGTTAAGACACAGGAGGCCTAATCACGTTTTATTTACCCTCTAAATCAGTGGGTTCTCAAATGGTGGTCCAGACCCCTCTGGTGGTTATGTATCAGATATTTACATCACAATTCATAACAGCAGCAAAATTACAGTTCTGAAGTAGCGAGGAAAACAGTTTTATGGCTGGGGTCAGCACAGCATGAGGAACTGTATTAAAGGGTCACAGCATTAGGAAGGTTGAGAACCACTGCTCTACAGTCTCAGTGAGGTGGGAAACAGGATGCTACAAGAACAACAAACTGGGCTTCAACAAATGTCTGAACCACATCACTCCATGGGCTTTCTCCAGTTCTCACATGTTCAGGACCAGCTGAGCACAGAAGAGGTCCCTCATTTCTGTTCCAGCTGGAGAGATGGCTTAGGGGTTGAGAGCACTGGCTGCTTTTCCAGGACTCAGGGTCCATTTCCAGCACCCACATGGCAGCTCACACCCATTTATATCTAGTTCTAGGAGATCCAAACCTGCTTCTGGCCTCTCTGGGCATCAGGCACACAGTTGGTGTATATACACATGCCAGCAAACCACAACACTTGTTCCTGAGAAACAGGGCCAGTGAGACGGTTCAGGGGCTAAGAATACCAAGCATGATGACCTGGGTACCCACATGGTAGAAAGAGAACAGATTCTTACAAGTTGCTCTCTGAACTACACACACACACACACACACACACACACACACACACCCTAAACAGGTAAAGTACCTGGTGCCAGAGGCCAGAAGGAGGCCTAGATCCCCTAGAGCTGGAAACAGAGATGGTGTACAGATACCATGTGGATGTGGGAATTGAACTCAAGTCCTCTGAAAGAGTAGCCAATGCTCTTAACCCCTAAGCCATCTCTCTAGCCCAAGTGTTGAGTCTTTACCATGACTTATGAAAAATAGTCAGCTCTTGATCTGATGTTGTATCGTTGTATGTGAACATAATATCCACACTTAAAAAAAGTGTGAAATTAAAAAAAGGTCATCTCTTTTCTTCCAGCTGCTGAGTAACAAAGTTTTATAAGGCTGTGTTTTTATAATCTTCTGACATTTTGCACTGGTTTCTGCACAATTCTTTTTTTTTTTTGGAGCCGAGGACTGAACCCAGGGCCTTGCACTTGCTAGGCAAGCACTCTACCACTGAGCTAAATCCCCAACCCCTTCTGTACAATTCTTAATGTCAACCTTGGAAACCCAGTTTAACTGGTCTCTCTGATCCTTTACATCACATTTCTCTTCAGCATTATGCTATCCTAGAAACTACCATTTCTGCCTCTCCAAGACTGAGCTTTGAACACAGTCCTTCTGGAAAAGGGGGTTTTTGCTGGCTAGTTTTATGTCAACTTGACACAAGCTAGTTATCTGAAAGGAGGGAATCTCAATTGACAAAAAGGCCTCCAGAAGACTCAGACGTAATGTGTTTTCTTAATTAGTGATTGATGGGGGAGAGCCCAGCCCACTAAGAAAACAGGATAAAAAAGTTATGGGAAGCAAGCCAGTAAGCAGCACCCTTCCATGGCCTTGGCATCAGCTCCTGCCTCCAGGTTCCTGCCCTGTTTGAGTTCCTGTCCTGATTTCCTTTGATGATGAATAGTGATATGGAAGTGTAAGCCAAATAAACTTGCTTTCTGGTCATGGTGTTTTGTTGCAGCAACAGAAATCCTAACAGCTGGGCAGTAGTGGTGCACACCTTGAGTCCCAGCATTCAGGGGCCAGAAGCAGGTGGATCTCTGTGAGTTCGAGATCAGCCTGATCTACAGAGCCAGTTCCAGGACAGCCAGGGCTACACAGAGAAACCCTGTCTCAAAAAAGAAAGAAAGAAAAGAAACCCTAACTAAGATAATTTAAAACAAAACAAACACTGAATACCTGAATGACAGAAACAAGATTTTTAAAACATAATAATCCAACTTAACTTTCCAAACAAAGCATCAATCAAAAAGAACTTACAGGATACTAGACAAGCAGAGTAAACGAAAATCACTAATATAAAAAGAAAAAAGATAAAGAATTCGCTGGCTGAACTCCGGCAATCTTAGCACACAGGACACTGGGGCAGGAAGATCATGAATTTGAGTTCTGTATGGGGATGAAGGAAGAGAGGGAAGGGGGACAGGCAGGGACAGGCAGCCTCACATTCAGGAAAGCAGGAAGTCTGTATAAGCGGAAACATTCTCCTTACCTCCCAACTGTGGAGCCCTGGTTTTAATAGCCGTCAAACTCCCTCGGAGTCTGTGGTTTACTCCCTATAACAAAAACAAAAGGAAGTGGTTCTAAAATGTAACAGATTAGGGGCTGCAGAGATGGCTCAGTGGTTGGGAGCACTGGATCCAGAGGATCCAGGTTGGATTCCCAGCATCTACATGGTAACTCACAACAGTCTGTAACTCCAGTCCCAGAAGATCCCATGCCTTCTTCCGGCCTCTGTGGGCACCAGGCATGCACATGGTATGCAGACAGACATGCAGGTAAAACATCCACATACATAAAACAAACAGGGCTGGAGAGATGGCTCAGTGGTTAAGAGCACTGACTGCTCTTCCAGAGGACCCAGGTTCAATTCCCAGCATCCACATAGCAGCTCACAACTCTGTGTAACTCCAGTTCCAAGGGATCTGATCCACGGGCACCAGGCACCAAGCAGTGCATAGACATACATGCAGACAAAACACCCATATACACAAAAAGTAATAATAAGATAAAAATATATATAATAGATTATAAGTGTAATATATTTCTAACCCACTGATGGGACCATCGATATCATCAACCAGTCCTGGCTTCCAGTGAAGATAAAATAAAACCAATCACCCACTCACCACTGGAGAATTTCGAAAACCTTTGAAGGCTTGAAAGATACCACCACCTATGGTACCCATGGTAAAGGCACCACCACAGTCGTCCACAATTCGCCAGGGGCTAAAAACAGGGGGAAGAGGGAGAAAGATGACCTTATTTCTCATAAACCATATAAACCAGAAAACTTTCTTTGCTTAATAAATGAAGGGATGCAACAGATTCCAGTGTGGGGTCCACTACAGCCAATAAACTTTTAGATTGTAAAATAGGGGCAAAGATACTAAACACATCCATAGCTATCCAGTCTCAAGTCCTCGAAGGCAGAAGGATTTAACATCACATCTTTTTTTAAAGAATGGTAGTATGGTGTGGTCTATGCCTTGCTAAATTGTCTGGCCTCAAGCTGGTGCTTCATCCTCCCGAGTGTCGGTATTACACGTCCGTAACATCATACTCAGGGTTTTATTCACTCACAATAATTTATCAGAAGTCTGTTCCAAGTTAGGCACTATAAGTTTATAGAAATTAGGGTACTCGGCCGGGCAGTGGTGGCACACGCCTTTTACCCCAGCACTCGAGAGGCAGAGCCAGGCGGAACTCTGTGAGTTCGAGGCCAGCCTGGGCTACAGAGTGAGTTCCAGGAAAGGTGCAAAGCTACACAAAGAAACCCTGTCTCGAAAAAACAAAAACAAATAAACAAACAAAAAAGAAATTAGGGTATGCTCCCATTGGCATTAAGTTTTTTGTTTTTTTTTTTTGTTTTTTTTTTCCGAGACAGGGTTTCTCTGTGTAACATCCCTGTTGTCCTGGATCTCACTTTGTAGACCAGGCTGGCTTCGAACTTACAGAGATCCGCCTGCCTCTGCCTCCTGAGTGCTGGGATTAAAGGCATTCGGCACCACGGTCCAGAATAAGTTTTAAAGCAGGAACCCAATGAAGATTCAGTAGCTGCAGACACATTTTTAAGTCTGAAATCTTTTCAGGATAAGTTCAAGACAGCATTTTAAACTTTAATTTGCATCTGATCCATTTAACACACCAGAATAATATCTCATAATTAGAAGTTAAATTTGTAAACCCAACATCCAAATGTGGCACTCTAACTTATACAACACTGAAATCTGAGTAATTTGATCAGGAGATCAGAACGACTACTCTAGGGACCTGGCTAATCAGTCTGTCTAGAACCCAGGACCTGACATATAACATCTCCAGCCTTATTAAGTCAACTGTATTACTGTAAAGATTTATGTAAGTTTCTCTTTTGTGTATCACACAAAGCCTATTTACACACACACACACACACACACACACACACACACACACACACACACACACACGGCACAGGGTAAATTCTGTTTCAGTCGACTCTCAGTGGAGTTATCATTCTTCCACCACCATCTCTTCCAAATAAAAAGCTGGTAGTTCACTGCTGGCACACATCATCCACCATGTTTCAAATCTAAACGAATTCTGTGAAACAAACACTAAGACTACTGTCTCTATAGTTCATATGCTATCTGGGCAGGCACAGAGAGCCTTACTCAGGTTTATAAACAATTTCACAACGAAATCTAAAGTTAGCAAAGTAACAGAAATTTCTCAATCTATCAGACAGTCTCAAGAGATAAGCAGAGAGCTGGGAGTGGTGGCACACACTAGTAATCCCAGCACTTGGAAGAGGCAGACGGATCAAGAGTCAGAGGCTAGCCTGGGCTACATGGCAAACCTTGTCTTAACCCCCAACCTATGGTCCCTCCTTACAAAAAGGCAAGCATTATAGTGAGCAGCCCACAGACATCAGTATAAGAACAAGTATGCTCTTAAACTTACCATTACTGCCCACAAGAATCTGAATAATTTTCCTTTAGAGCTCATAATCTTTTAACCTGACAAAAAGATTACGACTATCTCCTCTGAATTTTACAAATGAACAAAGGCTCAGACAGAAATTAAGCAGCTTGCCCCAAAACGAATAAGGAACTAGGTAGAGCCAACTAAAAGCACAATTTTGGTACTCCAAACTCTTTCCACTCTATTTATATAGTATAAAGAATTCAGAGAGAACAAATGGTAAAAGGAAGTATTAAGATGATGATTAAACCCACATACTGTTTTAGATAGTGCTGGTAACCCTCTCTGAAGGAGGAGAGTGTGGAGACAGAAGGCTGAAACATATCTTTGAGGGTGGGAGCACAGAGACTGCCACCAAATAATAATTTAAAGTCCCAGGAAGGCACACGATCTGAGGATACCGATTCTTTCTCATTATAAACAGAAACAAAACCAGATTAATCTAAATATCAAAGTTTAATTACTTGCTTGGGGCCCCTGAGGCTTTACTCTGACAACTTGAGATTCAATAGCTATTATTACGCCCATTTATAGCTACTTTGCTATGCCTGATTTACTCATGTTTGGTCCTTGAGCCAAGCACAGAGCCCTCACTTAATAAACGCTTACTGAATGAATTTATTTCTGTTCATGGCTCTTCTGAGAACACATGCAGCTCATCTCTTCCTATTTCCCACATATTCATTTATGTCTCTTTTTCTCCAGGAATTTGCACGACGCAGGAAATGCCGCTGCAGCCTCCAAGGAGCTCATCCAGACCCCTTGGACTTCGGAAGAAACCTATGGTCTACTCTTCTGAAATGCTTCTTCGTGGGGGCCCTTTTTAACCATACAACTAAGGCCTCAAGCATGGCACTCAGAGATCTACACTCCCTTCGTTGACAGAGGACCTGAGCAAAGCGAGGCCTAGGGCCGTGTCCAAGGTCACCTCAGAGGGCAAAGGGGATCACTACTATCCCCGCACCAGATCGACAGCACCTGCCCCAGGGAGGAGCTTCCAAGGCTCCACGAAGCCCAGCACCGGACCTCCTCGCTAGGCACAAGGTCACAGGGGTGCTGGCTCCCGGCACACAGCGCCGAAGAGCCACCCGGTCACTCTCGTCCGCACCACCCGGAGCTGCCCACTCTCGGGGCCGAGCCGCGCAGAGCTCTGCTTGCACCTCGGACCCCGACCACGGCGGGCGGGGCGGGGAAGGGACAGTAAGGGCGGCTGCGGCAGCTCACCACGGCTCTCTCGCGTACTCCTCCATCTTGGCTCCGGCCCGCGCGAGAGTGCCGGGCACGCTGGACTTCCGGAAACTGATCCCCGTGGCGGAAGTGATCCCAGGAGAGGGCGGGTTACTGGGCGGGGATTGGGTCGTGGTTTCCTGCCGCAGCCAATAGCAATCGAAGCTCCGTGTAGTCAACGAGCGCGCAGTTCCTGCTGCCCCACCAAGTCATGGAAGGTTGCGAGGATTGGGGTACTGAGCGACAGAGTTCAGGTTGCCTAAGCTTCTTAAATGCTGTACTATTTTATCTCTCTCTCTTTCTATCTATATCTATCATCCACCCGTCTATTCTCTCTCTCTCTCTCTCTCTCTCTCTCTCTCTCTCTCTCTCTCTCTCTCTCTCTCTCTCTCTCTCTCTCTCTCTCTCTCGTCTATCTGTCTCTCTCTCTCGTCTGTCTATCTCTCTGTCTATTTAATTTTGAGACAATGTTTCTCTGTGTAGCCCTGGATGTTCAGGAACAAACTATGTAGACTAGGCTAGCCTTGAACTCACAGACCCTCTTGCCTCTGCCTCCTGAGTGTGATCAAAGGCGTGCGCTACCACGGCCCAGCGGCGGGTTTTGTTTTTTGGTTTTTGTTTGTTTGTTTGTTTGTTTTGTTTAGTACTTTTGCTGGGGCTGGAGAGATGGCTCAGCAGTTAAGAGCACTGGCTGCTCTTCCAGAGGTCCTGAGTTCAATTCCCAGCAACCACATGGTGGCTCACAACCATCTGCAATAAAATCTTATGCCCTCTTTAAAAAAAAAAAAAGTACTTTTGCTGTTAACTATTATTGATAGTGCTACTTAATTTGCCGTGGAACGGTGAATTGTTAACAAATATATGTAGCTCTTGTAGGACAGAGCTTTATAGTCATAATACCTGGAATGTAATAGATAATTGTTTCTTCTTTAATAAAAATTTCTTTTATTACATTTACTTATATATTTGTGTATGGCAGCTAGTGGAAGCATGGAGGTCTGAGGACAAACTACAGAAGTCAGTTCTCATTTCCCACCCTGTGGGTCCTAAGGATCAAACTGAAGTTGTCAGACTTGACAGCAAGCGCTTTGACCACTGATCCATCGCGACAGCCCGAAATAAGTGTTCATGTAATTGAGCTACGTGGACCGTTTCAGGGGCCATACCAACTTGAGACCATTGATTTTGGGGGTCATTGATATAAGATCCTCTTCTGGGCCTCCCTCACAAAGAATACCAGAAATCATGAGATGTATTTAGCCCAGAGAAAAGAGACTAAAAACAAGACTAGATGGTAGAAGTTTTGCCTAGTATGCACAAAACCCTACGTCAGGTCCCCAGCATCACATAAACTGGTATGGTGGCAAATAGTGAAGACAGCTGGTCAGTGTTCCATCCTCAGCCATTTTTATTTTATTTTATTTTTGAGACAGAGTTTCTCTGTGTAGCCTAGACCAGGCTGGCCTGGAACTCATAGAGATCCACCTGCCTCTGCCTCCTGAGTGCTGGGAGTAAAGGCGTGTGCCACCACCGCCTGGCCCACATCAGGCATTTTATCACTGACTGTAACTTCAGTTCCAAGAGATCCAATGACTTCTGGCATCCTTAGGCACCCTCATGCACATGATACATGTGAACTCATGCAGGCACAAACATACACATAAATAAAAAAAAATGAAATTTTAGAAAATCAAACAAACCAAAATAGGGTCAGCAAGACGGTGCAGATAGTAAAGGCACTGGCTGCCAAGTCTGACAACCTGAGTTTGATCCCCAGAACCCACCTGGTGGGAGGAGAGGACTGAGTTCAAGTTCTGACCTCCACACATGTGTGAGCACCTTGTACACATAGCTCATACATACAAACAAAATGAACAACTTTTTTTAAACTAATAACGATGATGATCGTGAAGAAGAAAGGGGACTGGAGATACATCTCAGTGGGAAAGCCCTTCCTATCATACACAAAGCCCTGAATTCAATTCTCAGTACCACACGAACAAAAAAGGAAATATAATTAACTCCATAACTGTGAGGTAGATCCTCATTTTTTTTCCCCTAAAGGAAAAAGGTACATACTGTGGCACGCACATTTTCCATTTCCAAAGGCTCAAAGAGGTTAAACAAGCTACACACGGTTACACGTCTCAGATTTGAGCCCAGTGTCACTTGACTCCAGAGCCCGCAGCTTTATCTGCCACACTATAGTGGCACTCTGTATTCATGAGAAGCTGACTTTCTTGGGGTCATCCACCCTCTTTAAGGGCCACTTAAGGGCCGGCGTGGTAGTGTACATCTTTTTTTTTTTTTTTTTTTTTTTTTTTTTTTTTTTTTTTTTTTTTTGGTTTTTCGAGACAGGGTTTCTCTGTGTAGCTTTTGTGCCTTTCCTGGAACTCACTTGGTAGCCCAGGCTGGCCTCGACACAGAGATCCGCCTGGCTCTGCCTCCCGAGTGCTGGGATTAAAGGCGTGCGCCACCACCGCCCGGCTGGTAGTGTACATCTTTTATTCAGCACTAAAGAGACAGAGGCAGGTGGATTTCTGAGCTTTTGCTTTTTTTTTTTTGCTTTTTTTAATGGTTTATTTATTTATTTTTATTTTATGTGCATTGAAGTTTTGCCTGGGTGGGGGTATTAGACCCCTTGAAACTGGAGTTACAGACAGCTGTGAGCTGCCATGTGGGTACTGGGAATTGAACCTGGGTCCTCTGGAAGAGCAGCCAGTGCTGTTAACCAGGGAGCCATCTCTACACCACCACCACTTGCGCTCTCTCTCTCTCTCTCTCTTTCTTTCCTTTTCAGGGTTTCTCTGTGTAGCCCTGGCTGTCCTGGAACTCACTCTGTAGACCAGGCTAGCCTTAAACTCATTTGGATCTCTGAGTTCAAACCTAGCCTAGCTAGCAAGTTTCAGGAAGGCCAGAGGTATCTAGTGAGACCTGTCTCAATAAATTTTTAAAAAGACATTAAAGTATTGGTTCTAGATACTAAATGTCCCTTGCTCATCCTACTACTTTTCGACTAGTCTTTGAAGCTACACCCCCCACCCCCACCCACAGCCACAGTAATGCTTACCTTCTTCTGAGGACTCAGCCAAGCCAGAATGCGCTCATCCCTGAATGAATTTGTTTTAGCTGGAAGGAGCTTCTGAGCTTGGACAATAATTGTGTCTTATAGTCGTCCTTGGCTCCAGAGACTGAAGGAGGCTATATATTCTGGGTTCCAGCATCCTCTGGCCACAGCTGTAGCATCTCTCAAGAAAAGATGCTCAATCCAGTATTGGGAGCCTGGGTTTCCAGGGATCCAAAGATTTCAGTTTGAGCCATACTAAAAGAGCCACAGTTTGGAACTGTGGAGCCTGAGGCAGAGAAGTGACAGGAACTTTTGTGTACACCCACCGTTAGTTAGGAGGCCATAAATCCTCCCACTTGAGTCTGGAAGCTGTAGATTTAGGGTGAATATATGTATCTTAGTGTATTCTTAGAGCAAAGTCAGATCTCAGAAGAGATGGTCACCAAACAATGTGCCAAGGCTGGCCCTGGAGCTGAAGGGGATTTTTGCATCAGGCCTGGCCTCTTCTTCAGAGAACAGCAGACATTTTTGTCACAGAGTCCCAGGAAGCTACAAAGGGGGATCTTTCAAGTAATAGAGGGGCAGGTTGAGGATGGCTAAGGGGGAGTCTGGGGTCCCAGAAAATAATTCTTTTTTGTTGTTTGTTTTGGATTTTGATTTTTCGAGACAGGGTTTCTCTGTGTAGCCCTGGCTGTCATGGAACTCACTATGTAGACCAGGCTGGCCTTGAACTGAGAGATCTGCCTGCCTCTGCTCGTGAGTGTTGGGATTAAATGTGTGCCACTATACCCAGCTTCAGAAGATACTGTTCTAGGCAACAGCGAGTGTGAAGACTGACAAGCATGACTTGAGGGGATGTCAGGGAGAGCAGGAGACTTAGTGGGAGGGCTGGGCATGGTGGCACACATCTTTAATCCCAGCACTTGGGAGGCAGGTAGATCTCTAGGAGTTCCAGGCTAGCAGGGTCCACATAGCAAGTTCTAGGCCAGCCAAGGATGTATAGTGAGACCCGGTCGCAGATAGAAAAAAAAAAAGGAGGGAGGGAGGAAGAGAGGAGGAGCTTGGTAGGAGCAAGGAATAGCATGCTTACCAACATGTTTAGCCCATCTGAGTCTTTGTGTACCCTGGAATATACCCAGTGACTCCTTCCCACACACTTAAAGTGTCTTCTGTTGACTCCAAACAATTCCCTTTGCCTCTTTTTATTTTTTCTATAGTAGAATTTTTGTTTTGTTTTTTCAAGACAGGATTTCTCTGTGTACCAGTCCTTGGCTGTCCTGGAACTTGTTTTGTAGACCAGACTGGCCTCGAACTCACAGAGACTCACCTGCCTCTGCCTCCTGAGTGCTGGGATTAAAGGCATGCGGCACCACCACCCAGCTACACCAGAATTTTAAAAACATCATTAAATGATACATTTTCAAGAGAAGGATAATGTTATAATTTTCTTTGTATCTCTCTTTACACAATACCGGACAAAGTATTATACATATATATGGTGGAACCTAGATAAATTATTGAATGAGCCGGGCGGTGGTGGCGCACGCCTTTAATCCCAGCACTCGGGAGGCAGAGCCAGGCGGATCTCTGTGAGTTCGAGGCCAGCCTGGGCTACCAAGTGAGTTCCAGGAGAGGCGCAAAGCTACACAGAGAAACCCTGTCTCAAAAAAACAAAAAAAAAATTATTGAATGAATGAATGAATGGATGAGAATCAGGCAAGAGGGAATATGTGTGTGTTTACTGAAGGTCGTTATTGCTGAAGGAAAGAGAACTAAGGAGAAAAGTGGTAGGCTAGAGAGAAAAGAACCCAGAACAAGGATGAGTATAAATAACACAGGCCTGGTGTGGTTTTCTTGAAGTTCCAACTTCTCAAGAGGCTAAGGCAAAAGGATCACAAACAAACTCTAGGCCTGCCTGGGCCCTGGAGTGAGTCAAGGCCAATCTGGGAAACTTAGTGAGATCAATTTTAAAATAAAAGTCAAAAGAGGGCTTGAGCGATGGCTCAGTGGTAATGAGCTTGTGCGGCTCTTGCGAAGGACCTGAGTTCTGTTCCCAGCACTG